AGAAATTCTATTGAATTCTTCCAATTGACATTTATGGTTAGAAATGAGTATGATTTGACAAAATAAAAGAATAGAAATTTTGTAGTTAATTCATCATAAATTCTAAATTGAACATATACGTGATCATTGAACAGTGTGATGACGAATTTGGTATATATATATACCGTATTTTATTGACGAGTTTACAACGTACCACCCAATTTTTAAATTTGAAATCATCAGTCAATCATTGTTAGACCACTATTAGAAACCTGGAAGCACTGAACGGCCGTTTCGTCATGGTGTGGTTCGATGGTTAGGCGTTCGCGTGAAATACTGAAGGTCCCAGGTTCGAATTCTGCGAGGTGCAGGAGTCGTGGATGCGCACTGGTGATGAGTCCCATACCATGACGAAACGGCTGTCCAGTGCTTCCAGGATTCTATTGGTGGTCTAACAATGATTGATTGATGATTTCAAATGTGTAAAAACACAATTCTCCAAAACTCTACCCGAAAATAATTTTTAAATATTTGAAATCATTCAACAAGAATTTCAAAATCTAGCTATTCTGTAAGTGAGATTTTGTTAGCAAAAGTGAGTGTTTGCTTTCAATGGAAATGATGCTTTCAAATAATCCCTTATATTCAAATTAGTGAGTATAAGAACGTTTTCAATCAAACAATTAAATGAACTTTAATATCATTGTACTGTTTTTTTAGTTAATTTGATTAGTGATGAAGTCCAAATAAAACTAATAATATTATAAGGCATGAATCGAATGTTTATAGTATGTTTTATGCAAATTTAAAGTGTACACCATATTATCTATGTGTTCAAGATTACATAAGTCATTGACAATGGACTGAGTCATGTCGGTAGTTGTCGACTACCTGGTTGGGGTCCGCGAGATAATAATAATCGATGGTTAGAGACCCTGAATGACATGTCTCAAAACCGTTTGCAATGGCGCCGGTGCATTTATTCTTTGTGTTCTCTCAAATCCTTATCTTCTGGATTCTTCAACACCTCTAGTTTTGTCTTTCTAAACTTATCTCACTGAATCATACTTCTTGAATGATATCTTGTAATCCTAACCTCTCCGATTACTTCTAATACCTTTACTACCTCTACTACTATTGGATTTGAATTGACAATTACATCTCTGTGCTAATGTGGTATGGCAACATGAACTGATGTGCTTACGTACGAAGTTCTACGTTGCATCTGACTGACTGACTGACTCAAGATTGCATATTGATACATGTAGATGATAAATATGCTATTAAATAACATAGTTTTGCATCATGAAGAAGTGTATTTCATAAAATGTTGACGTTATTCATAACTCCCTTTGCTGATTAGATGATTTATAACTACAGTCTTTATTGATATCATAAATATGCATTGAATTATCAATCAATCACCTTGGAAAACATCTAGTCATAAATTATTACAAAAATTAAATAGTTTACAAATCATTGAAAATCGCATACAATGTATGCATAAAATTTATGAGTATTTTGAGAAAGGTTATGCATAATTTATGCATGATTACCTTTTCCACATAGAATTGTGTATTGGTTGTGAACAGTTCAATGTGATTGTTTGTGTATTATTCTATCATATGTTTATTTGTGTATACTTATTCACATACACTATTCGTGAAAAACAATGTTATTTTACAGAGCACAGATCATACTGTAAATCTATCAGACAGTAGAAATGTAATCGTATAAATAATTGTCAAACGTTTATTATTATTTATGCATGATTTTTTCTGAATGTTTTAATATTTCCCTTCATCAATAATACATCAGGTAATAAGAAAATAATAAATATTACTTGAACAGGACGAGAGAGAGAGAGTGAAAGAGAATAACTGAAGGTGACACATTGATAATGAAGGATATTTACGAGTATCGATAATAAATAATAACAAGTTTGCGTTTTTTGAAAAAAAATATTCGTTTTCTTGAAAATCAAATGATTAATTAGCATGCAGTTTAATGATTTATATTCACAACTATTGGTTTTATTCAATATTCAATATATCAAAAGTGACAAATGTTTTGAAAAAAATTAAAATAGTCTTGTTTCCCACTGTTATTCATTATCCTGTATGCTTATCATTAGTTTAGAAATTCTAGTAGAAAATGAATTTTGGTTTAAATTAAGTTTTAAATGGATTAGTTTTCATTTTAGTAAGTGATGTGTGTACAATGAAAACGATTAGTTTTTTGTAATTAAAGATAAGTATCTACTTTTCATTCAGTATATGTCAAACAATTTACGCTATAACATGTGTTAACATTCAAGCTATTAAAAAATTACATTCATGGGCCAATATATAAAAGTTATCATTAAACATTTCAGTTCTAAGAAGGGTCAGTCAAAAATAATACGCAGTTCGATCTTAGCACACCTGGTTGATAGTGATCATATTGTAGATAAGTCTAGATCTTTTCGGGTGATCTATCGTATACCCCCATAATTTCCCAACGGAGTTCGATCCCGTCTGCTACACATAGCAGAAGCCATAGGAATTCGTACATTCAACCCCAATTTATGTGTTCAGAAGAAATTCGTGACACCCCTACCTCTTCCGTTGCCCAATATGACGTAACTAACGATTGACATTACATATTTTTTATATTATTTTATTTTTATTTTTACATATTTGCTTATTACGTAATGGTTTTGATGTTTTTCAATGTTTATTTGAAGTCTATTCATCCACCTTTGACCTACTATTGATAAAACTTTAGTTATCATATTTTATAATTTTCTTACTACTATCAGTACACCTGTCTTCCTACTATCCACTTGAACTTTTGTCCATTGTGATTATCACTTAAATTGCCTTGATTGGTTTAGCATTTTCATATAAATATTCATGTATATTAAAGTAAATCCTGATGACGATTTAATCGAAAACAGTATTGTTCGCTTATATGTGTTGTTCTAATTTCAGTTCTTTTGTTGAGTAAAATAATATATCATTTGTCTAAAACGCCAATTAATACCTTCTGATATATGGATACACGTTGCGAAGAAATATACACACATTTCAATGCTTCCAATCAATATTTTTCTAGTAAAATCAGTACTCAACACATGACACTGGTTGGGAATCAGTAATTTTCCACAGGATTATGGATATCAAATTTTGTAATTTTTTTTCAAAACTCGGTAAAATATCCAAAGGTCAAGTTCAATACCAAACTTAGTTGAATATTTAACAATATTATTCATAAAATAAAACAGTCTATTTGATACAACAAAGACAAACATGTCAGTATATAGTTCATAGATTATGGCATCTATTTCTCTATTGAAAATTGTTTCGTTCGGATTTCTGTTTTTCCCAAAGAAATGTACTTGTCAGATAAGCGCAATAATAATAATTGGTCTAAAGTGAATGTAGCACTGTGTTCGTGTTACAAAACGTCACAAACACACACAATTGTGAATGCATTTTTTATGCGACCATTTGAGTAATTTATTACAAAAAAATATATAATACGATCATTTAAAAATTTAAAATGTAAGTTTTTAGGCTTTCTTTTCTAGGTTTTGTACGTGATAAAGCTTACTTCCAAATTTATTCAGAGTTTATTCAAAATAATCGTTTTTTTTTTATTTTTATAAATCACCTAAGCGTTGGGTAGATGTGAATATCACGTTTTAATAAGTTGGTTTAATGATCTATTTTTAAATGTTTAATTTCTCGGTTTCATTTATTTAAAAATAGTCAAATAAATGAATGTGCTACAAGGCCTTTTACATGATCAAAGGCTGTACGATCATTTTTTAATTAACTATTCAACCATAAAACGATTCAATCTGTGAAAGTATAAGAACATTGAAAAAAAAGTAATTGTAGCGTTAAAAAAAATGACTAAACGACTTATTTCATTCCAAAAATATAGGCATTGAAACATTACTGACGCTTAATCGATTATTTGTTTACAACAGTTTATAATTTGAAAACAGTTTTATCATTGAATGAGAGAAATTTATCAAGTTTTTTTTATCTAAACATGTAATAAAACGTTGTAAACAAACATGACAGTAAACGTTGTGTGTAGATCGGTATCTAATAATTAAAAAAAGATTCAAAAACAATTATTTGTTTGTACCAGAATCACATTAGGTGACACACAAACAGAAAATCTAATTAGTTCTCAATTTCATGATTACAGCTAATGATATATTTTTCTTGTCAGTTTATCAGTAGAAAAAAAATATAGTTAGATTAGGGGGTTTTTTGCATGAAAAATCTCAGTTTTCTCTCTAACTTCACAGGATATTTATCCATCACAATAGATATTATGAATGAATTGTTGAGAATATTTGTTCCACGTTTTAAGGTTATTTTGTTTTTAATTGCATAAAATGAATAAAACAATTATTGTAATCTATATCCAGTTATAAGAAGATAAAAATAAACTTGAATCCAAATAATATCGAAATCAATTTTTATTGCAGAGCGATCTCATGTGATTGTTTTCAAAATCCACAGATCTACAGTTGACATCAACTAATAAACAAAATCTATTTCCATGTCAAGTTGTATCTGAAAATTGTCAAAGCAAATCGTCAACGATAAAGTCCTTTTGTGCTGACTAGTTATTTTATTCAGCATGATACTACAATCTTCAAACTGAAACGATAAGCTATATATATTATGATAGAAAAAGCTATATAGCACATTTATTGTAACTAGAAGTGTAAATTTTCTTATTCCGATACAACCACATACAAGGTTTGTGCTGTTCGGTAAACTTCAAGATATAGGAATGGATCCCGTTTGTAGTTAATGGTTTTCACTATTGATGTATTCAGAAAAGAGAATAAAATCAGACAATAAGTTGGATGATATCTAATCATGATGAAAATGCATTTAAGTATGAAGAAGCTCCACAAACTCCTCAACTTTAACAAATTTTAAACGACAATGAAAATTGATGTTTTTGAATTATTTTAATATGTAATAACAACAAAAATTAATACAACTTACTGGTTTCGGTAAAATTCTGTTTGTATTTACTAAACGTGGACGAGATGAATAGTTTTCAAGTGGTGAAATTCTACGCCTACCTGATGTAGAAGGTGATCTTTCATTGATATTTGTAGAATATAAAGCATCAAAACTATATAAATCTTTCGTATTCATATGGGTGGAATAATGCATATCCATCATGTGTGTTTCTTCATAAGGAATATTTTTCGCTGTATGAGTATATAACATGGGTTCTGGAAAAGAATTTTAAAAAATATATTACACTGATTATAATTTATCAACTATGAGTTTCACATTTTATCTAATGCAGTTTAAAACACATCTCCGATAATAAAAAATTTCAATAAAATGATTTATTGATGGTTTGTAAACTTTTTACCAAGCACAACTTTTTAATAACATTAACAAACTAACCATAATGAAGTATAATAATTATTTTTCCACTGGTTGGACTCAATCAGTCAGTTATAAGCAATATAGCATTTAACGTATTGGGTACATTGGTTCAAATCGAGACACTTTATTAGCTCACCGACATGAAATTGTCATTGTCAAACCTAGATTAGTAATTTTAAGATGCCAATCAATAAGAAACGATGAACTATTGATACAAAGATTATTAAGGTGACTTGGGGTGAATACATTTGCATGTTTAAGTTGTTTTCGTTCCTGATTGTGTTCAGGGCCTGATGGGATCGGTTTTCGAGCATTTATCAATTCATTAGACGGTTGTGAAATTCACTGGTATTTGCTAGTTCAAGGTCATTCGTAGATATCCCAGCTTTTTCACACCTATCCGAATATCAAGCAAACCCACATCTTACTTACTTACTTAATTTCGCCTGTTACCCACAATGGAGCATAGGCCGCCCACCAGTTTTCTCCAACCAACTCTGTCCTGGGCTTCCCTCTCCACTTCTGTCTAATGTTTGTTCATTCCTCTCATATCTTTCTCTATTTCTCGGCGTAGTGTGTTCCTTGGCCTTCCTCTTTTCCTTTTGCCTTGAGGGTTCCATGTGAGGGCTTGTCTAGTGACGCAGTTGGGTGCTTTTCGTAGTGTATGTCCTATCCATTTCCACCGCTTCTTCCTGATTTCCTCCTCCATTGGAATCTGACTTGTTCTCTCCCACAGTTCGTTGTTGCTGATGGTGTCTGGCCAACGAATACGAAGTATTTTGCGAAGACAACTGTTAATAAACACTTGTATCTTCTGGATGATGGCTTTGGTAGTTCTCCATGTTTCCGCTCCATACAGTAGAACTGTCTTCACATTTGTATTGAAGATCCTGATTTTGGTATTGGTTGAAAGTTGTTTGGAGTTCCAGATATTTTTCAACTGTAGAAATGCAGCCCTCGCTTTGCCAATCCGCGCCCTCACATCTGCGTCCGATCCACCTTTCTCGTCGATGATGCTGCCAAGATATGTGAAGGTGTTAACGTCCTCCAAGGTATCTCCATCAAGCGTGATTCGGTTGGTGCATGTTGTGTTGCATCGGAGAATTTTGCTTTTTCCTTTATGTATGTTGAAACCTACTGCTGCAGAGGCTGCTGCTACACTGGTCGTCTTCTCTTGCATTTGTTGTTGCGTGTGCGATAGAAGAGCCAGGTCATCTGCAAAGTCCAGATCGTCCAGCTGCGTCCTAACTGTCCAGTTGATACCGTGCTTCCCTCCAGATGTTGACGTCTTCATAATCCAGTCGATGACCAGGAGAAAGAGAAAGGGTGAGAGTAAGCAACCTTGCCTGACACCGGTCTTCACCTCGAACAAGTCTGTCAGCTGACCTCCGTGTACGATTTTGCAGTTGAATCCATCATAAGAATTCCGTATGATGTTAACTATTTTCTCAGGCACACCGTAGTGTCGAAGAAGCCTCCACAGTGTTTTCCTATCCACGCTATCGAATGCTTTCTCGTAGTCGATGAAGTTGATGTAGAGTGGTGAGTTCCATTCAATTGATTGTTCCACAATGATCCGTAATGTAGCAATTTGGTCAGTACACGATCGATCCTTACGAAATCCGGCCTGTTGATCTCGAAGTTGGGCGTCTACGAAGTCCTTCATTCTGTTTAACAATACCCTGTTGAAGACTTTGCCTGGTGTTGAAAGAAGAGTGATGCCTCTGTAGTTTTCACACTTGCTGAGATCGCCTTTCTTTGGTATTTTGATCAGGTATCCTTCTTTCCAATCTGATGGTACTTGTTCCTCATCCCAAATCTTCTTGAAGAGAATGTGAAATATTTTCGCAGTTGCTTCCACATCTGCTTTCATTGCCTCTGCTGGAATGTTGTCTGGTCCTGCAGCTTTGCCGCTCTTGATTTGTCTGATGGCTATACTGATCTCCTCAATCGTAGGTGCGCCAATATTAATTGGGAGGTCCGTGGATGCTGCTTCGATGTTGGGTGGGTTCAGTGGAGCTGGTCGATTCAATAGTTCCTTAAAGTGCTCCACCCACCTATTTCGCTGTTCGTCAGTGTTGCTGATTATTTTCCCTTCCTTGCTTTTCACTGGTCGTTCTGGTTTACGATAGTTTCCAGCGAGCTTCTTTGTAGTTTCGTACAATTGTCTCAAGTTTCCTTCTCTTGCAGCCTTTTCCGCCGTCATTGCTAGATAATCCACATATTTTCGTTTGTCAGCTCTGATGCTCTTCTTCACTTCCCTGTTTGCTTCTGTATATTCGGCTTGCGCCTTAACTTTCTCTGCTCTTGTTCGGCAGACATTGATAGCTGCCTTCTTGTTCCTCCTTTCTTGAATTTTTTCAAGAGTACCAACAGAGATCCATTCCTTGTGATGGTACTTCTTTTGGCCCAGGACTTCGTGACATGTTGAAGTGATTGCCTCCTTGATCCCTTTCCAATTGTTCTCCAATATTGCATCCTCTCCATTGAGTAGATCCTGAAAGGTCTGGAACCTATTGGTGAGGGCTATCTTGAATTCGTTGAGTTTTACGGTATCCCGAAGAAAGGCCGTATTAAACTTCTGTGATGTTGTCTGCCCCGCTGTCCAGTGCTTCTTTAGCTTCAATCTCATTTTGGCGATCAGCAAGTGGTGATCTGAAGCTATATCAGCTCCCCTCTTGGTTCTCACATCCTCCATGGTCCTTCTGAACTTTTTGTTGATACAGATATGGTCAATTTGGTTTTGAGTAGTGTGGTCCGGTGAAATCCATGTGGCTTTGTGAATGCGTTTGTGCGGGAATATTGTGCCACCGATGACCAGTTTGTTGAAGGCACATAGGTTTGCAAATCTCTCACCGTTTTCGTTCCTTTCTCCCAGTCCATGTCGTCCCATGATGTCTTCATATCCAGTGTTGTCCATTCCAACCTTGGCATTCAGGTCTCCCATAAGAATCGTCAAATCTTTTGGTGAACATTTATCGACGACTGACTGCAGCCTTTCGTAGAATTGATCTTTAACGTCGTCATTGTAGTCATTGGTAGGTGCATAACATTGGATGACGTTCATTTTAATGTCCTGTTTCTTTGTTTTGAAGGATGCTTTAATGATCCTCGGCCCATGAGATTCCCATCTTATCAGTGCCTTTTGTGCATGTTTGGACAGCATCAGTGCAACTCCTTGTGTATGTGAAGCATTTCCCCCTTCATGACCAGAGTATAACAGCAGTTCCCCTGAAGCTAGTCTCAGTTGTCCTGCCTGTGTCCAATGCGTTTCACTGATGCCGAGCACCTCCAGGTTGTATCTTTTCATTTGTGCCGCAACTTGAAATAGTCTTCCAGTCTCCCACAATGTACGAACGTTCCATGTACCTAAAAAAACGGTTGCTCTGGTTGTCAGAAGAGGCATCGGCCCCGTGACTTCCGAGGGAACTCGGCTTTCATCACGAGACGTCATAATTCTTCTTCCAACTCCCAGGGCAGAGTTAAAATGGTTTGAATTATTTTTTCTGGTTAGCGTTTTTTTGGCAAGTTAGATTTCAACGGAATGGGGCCGCCAACCCCATGTCCAACCCTCCTCCTTTATCCGGGCTTGGGACCGGCAGCAGCCCCTAAGGTTCTACTGGCGGAGTTCCAACCCACATCGGGGTGATTAAAATCATCTTTTTAATCATTTTCTAAAGTAATAATTATTAACCGAACTGATGAAACTTATATTTATGGATCTTCAGTAAACAATTGTATGTTCTACTCTTTAAAATATCCTCAAATGTTTGATTTTACTAATAGGAATGGGCAAGAGCAATTAGTTAACAGGAACTTGAGTATTAAGAATAATACTTCTCTTTATGAATCAATTTATATGCCTAGTAATGAAGTGAACAGAAATTCTGTCAGTAAATAATAATAATAAGAATGAGATGAATTAATTTAGTTTTAGAAATGTTATTAAAATTTTGATAATGTTCAACCTCAAGAAAGAATGAAATCCAAATTAAATGAACCTGGAAGGCATCAACCAAAAGTGTTAATTTTTGTTTAGCTGATACGTTTTTATAGGTAATTGTTTTCTAATCTTGGCGGATAGTGTTAAAATCAGTGATGCATTATCATATTTCTTTGGTTACGCCCAAATGTCTTTAAAATTTTACGTAATAATAATTGCAAACAATACTTCTCTTTTTTTACGTAATAAAATGTTATACTCATTCAACTTATATTATACTGAGTGTAAGTAGAGAAAAACAAAATAATTAGTAGTCAGTCAAATGAGATTGGGCTTTTTTTAACTGAGAAGTGTCTTATTATTGATAAAGATAATTCAGATTGTTGATAGGGATTGTCGGAACGTTGATTTACCGTGATTATTGTCACAAATCATGGAAACTTCCAAAAAAAAAATCAGGAAGTAAAATATATTAAATCTCTATCTGAATGCATATATCATGATTTTTTTTATGAAAAACGTCGTCTACACAGTAAACCTCTTTGTAACTGAAATGTATATTTCTTATGAATAATCATTTAGTGTGCCCGTGTATATCGAATTATTTAGCTGAATCGGACAGTTTGCATTGATTACATTGGATACATATGGCCCTATCTTTAAATATTGTGTGATGAGTTGTTTTAGTATTGAACAAACATTTTTTTACTTATTAGCGTAGAATCGATTTTTTTTCGCTGAAAAAAAGCAAGTCAAGTTACTTTTATATACATGGGTTCTATTAAGCACTGATTGTACTGACTAAGTGATCGTGTATCATTCCAACTGAAACAAACAATATTTAAAACAGTTACAATATAATTTATCAGTAAATGTATACTTCATGTCTAGTTT